CAATTAGGCAGTTGCAATATCAAGCCATTGACTTGCAATCACTCGAAGATGTATTATTTTCTCCATCAAGTACAACACTAGCTTGGCCTAATCTGATGAACTTTTTTCTCCAATCGATATCTCCGCCATTAATTACTAGATGTCTATTCCATGGAATTTTTGGACAGAAACAAAATTTTCTAATCCAAAGCGAAGGTCTTTTGTCTCGGGATGTAGAGCAGAACAAATTGAAGAAGAAATAATCAAGTGCTCTGGTTACAGAGGTATAATTGTGCATCTCTTTGCATTGCGGTGGTATCTTCTGCAGTGCCTCCACTGAAAACAATGTTGAAGCCGTACAGAAAGTGAGCACTGCGATATTGGATGAAAAACTGTGCAGACAATGTCAGTAAACTGTCTGCCCCTAATTGCAATTTTGTTTGTTACTAGGGTAATTAGATTAATGTAGATTGCGCATCTCGAGGAATTGATGAAGCAGACCATTAGTTTTGTGAAACAAAAGCGATGCCTTTCTGCTGCTGTTACTGCCATCCACCTTCTGGTGCAGTCAGCAGCAGAACAGGCAGATGTCCTATTGAAGGCTCATCATGGCCATGATTTAGACAACAGCTACGCAGCAGAGAAAGCAAACAACAAATTAGGAAAGAGGGAAAAAATAGACCAATGATATGCCCAAAAAAAGCAGAGGAAGTGATTGTTTTGTGAGCTCATTAACAACAGTTAAAGACAAAAGAATTTCCTTAATTGTCTCAGAAGTTTCAGTGCAGTTTATAGAGTGCATTGTCTGCATCATAGGGTGCATGTGTCTATGAGTGGGTTTCAATGTATATAAATCTCCAAACAGTTACATTGTCATGGTGACATAATTTTGTGTCAATTTATCAATAGACATGCTGTTTTTCAAGGGATTGGTTTATTGGGGGTGTAAGTCAGTCGAAGTTATTTGTAAATAGGCCTTAAAATTCAAAATCTCATAAAAGTTATATTTGGAAAGATTTAACTGCTAAACTGATTTATTAATGCCAATATGAATTAAATATTACACAATAAGCAGTTATCGAAATTGATTTATTTTTTTTTTTAAGAAGAAAAACTAGTTACAATTTAGGTAGTGTTAATGCTCTACTATATAAGAGGGAGTGCTTTATGTTTTGTATGTCTGGTGCTAAGTCCCAAAGACAGTGGACATAATTACATAATTAAAAACAGCAATGTAGATGGCGCCACCTGCAAATTTCGAAATGGTTGCTTTACTTCCATTAAAGAACCAATAATGGTCAACCGATGTTCGACTAGAAATATTCTCTGCTTTAACAAAATGTCAAGACAAATTTCTTCTTGCATAGCCATGACATTGTGCGTGCTTTTTTTTAGATACAATTATTGTTTGTTTACAAGGAGATACAAACACAATTAACAAGTACTAAGGCTTGTACGCAAATAGCCAATGTCAGAAGTCTTAGACTCTAATTTCTCATTACATTTTTAATTTTTGAATTATGAGTTATTTTTTCAATGAGAGGGATGGCTCAGTCAGTTACAATATTGGTTAATGTAACCTCAGGTGAACACCCGAGATGCTTATTGCGATGCTCCCCAGAAGTTCAAGCTTCTTCGGGAGCTTAAAAATGGACCTACCTCTCTGTGTTTACTTGGTTGTGTCTATCAGCAGGACTTTTTAAGCTTATTGCACTGGATGGTGTGTGACTTGCCTTCTGTATGTTTTTCAGTGAGGCAACCACCAGCTGCTTCAAGGAGAGCTTGTTTCAAAATGGCCCTGTCTGTTTACAGGACAATAAACCTCGCAAACAAAAAAAGTCAATGACATTTTAACCGATTTTAAATCAGATCTTCATTTTTTACTTAATTAGTAAACATTTAAAATACAATATCATTTTGGTTTGTGCAAAAAACCATTGCAGAGGAGATTGTATGACTGAACAAGCTATTTCTGTCAACACAATAACATATTATTTTATAAGTCCTCCTACGCAGGACAACAAAACTACCAGAAAGTGATAGCATATCTGTTCTCTGATTGGATTTTATAAATATATATATATATATACTCATTAAATCAAAAACATATCATGATTTTAAGATATATTATTATGTGTGGGTTTAATGATACCATAGGTGAAGAAACAGATGATGTGGATTTTTCACTCCTTCACAATCACAGGTTTTTTAAAGTGAGACAACATTCCTGATTCAGAGTTATGCTGGTTTACACTCAGGAATGATAATAAATGGTTTACTGTTTGGAATATGGTGAGGGGGTTAACAGTTCTGTGCTGGGAGGGGCACTGGGTAACTCTACCAGTGGGTAATTCTACCACTGACCAGAGTTGTGTGTTATATCTACAAGAGATATCAGCCAGACAGTTGTAGTAGGTGGAGAAGTTAGAAAGGATTAATATATAGGATCTAGATAATGAGGAGGGGGAACAGTGGTCCAGTATCACGGGGGTACATGTATGTACAGCAGCTCGAGGGGGTGAAGGAATGTACTCGCTGTGAAAGAAGGGTCACGGAAAGGCTATCAAGGGTAAACAAAAAAAGATTAATTCCCATACTGCATGCTGCATACTTATATTAAAGGCCGCCATTATCTTGAGAATCGTTATAAAATGCTGGCATCTGTTGCATTGTCAGTCTGACAGGGGTCAGCAAAGCAGACTGTATCAACTTTCACCAGATCAGAGAAACATACTGATTGGTGAATAATGCTACTAGTCTTTTGTTTCAAAACCAGAATGCAATTTTCCTAAATCTGATCTTTTGATGTGGTTGAAGGTGGAACGAATAACTTAAACGCATCTGTAACTAGGGTATATGGACCATGTATGGTGGCCGTCTCCACCGGATTTCTGCTGGCATACAGTTTCAAAAATGATAGATCTGAGTACCACAGAATAGAAATATTTAGCAAGAATAACAAAAATGAATTAAAAGATATAAAAGAAGTGAATTTCTAAATGTGTTTATTGACACATAAATCTAACAAAGAGATAGAAATAACTCTATATTTACACTTTTATTTCAAATCAGCATTTATTAATTTCAAAATTTTGACAGTTGCATAAGAATATATCTTTCGATTTTAAAACCTGTATTATTCATCATAAAGATGAATTTCTCGCTGTAGTGTCTAGCCTGTTGATAAATATTACCAGAGGAGCATATTTACAGTCCTCTAACATTGGAGGATAATGCCATAGAGAGGATTCCCTAGCCACTCTCATTCTCCATTTCAGCAATTAATCTGCAGATGTAATTTAAATGGAAAGTTTTTCCCAGATAATTCTGTATACAGAGACACACAGTTCAGCCATTTTCTCATGAATTTTGTAAACTACTTTGTTTTTGATAACTTGAATCTGTTCCTGTCTTATCAGGGAAATTCAGATTAAAAGCAGTGATAGCTGGTGTAACACTTCACCGACACATAAATCACCGGGCCCAGATCTACTCACTGAATGGGCCTTGCAGCCATATTTAATGGCGCACACTTTCACCAAGGGATTAATGAGGCTAGAGGAGGGACGAATGTATCTGTTGATTTGTCTTTAGGTATACACTAAATGAAAACACTTTGTAATGGGAGAGAAAGACTGACCCGTCCTTGAATAAGGCTGGTTTTTGTTATAAAGTATCCAGAGTTTGAAATATGCTCCTTTTAATGACTGGGTTTTTGGTTTCTTTTTGTATTGTTTTGTAAATGGGTCGGGGCTTGGCTGTCATATCATTATAAGCTGACAGAAGAAAATTTCATTTGATTACAAAGAATTATGGGATGGTTTCTTTCTTGATTAGGGGGCACCCAACAGGTGATCTTTTATATTAAATTTCTTTTTTTTTCCTGCCAAAGTTTGTTTAAAGATTTTATCTTTTTATCAGCGTACATAATAAATGTGGGATTCCCTTGGTCGGTTGTTGATCAGCTTTGACTAGAGTGTACAGGTGAATTTATTTACATAAATAGAGCATTATAAAATTGTTCTTCACCTGAGTTGATCTCTGAAGTTATAAAAACTTGTTATAAAAACATATAAATGGAAATTGCTGTTAGATGAACCATGAATCCTTAATTTGTCTCTTCCTGCGTAATAATGATCAAGTTTCTCCCGGGATATTGTTCCTCGGCTACAATGTGTTGGTTTTCCTAGATTATAATTTAGCTACTGCGATGTGTCTTATTTCACCTGATTACTGTACCAGGTGAGTGTTTGAGTCAGGGTAAGGATTGACACCCAGTCACTTCCCACGTTAGTGGGATCCAGGCTATCAAGTGAATGGTCGATTCAGTTTGGCTTTGTTTTCCTACAAATTCCTTAAATACCTCTTAATAATTGTCCCTACAGCTAAACGGTAATACTTTCCCAAATAATTTGATCAACCATTGTCACCGGGATCTCTGTAGACACACAGTTTGCATCTAAGTGTGAACATCTTACCGGGGTACAATTAGGGGGCCACAAAGACCAAAGTCTCACCCCTTTGTTGTGACCATTGGGGATCTAGTTAGGGAAATTGTTCAGTGAAAAGTTGATAGATTTGTGCTTTAATGAAATCAGGGATTTGATTGTGTACCAGTGTGTGTGAGATGTTGTAGTAAGAATGATGTTATAAAATTTCCCCTGTAGCAGTCAGATAAACTATTCTACATTAGGTGTATATAGCGTTTTATCTTAATGACACCTGAAAAAGATTAACTTTTTCACAGTCTCTTTACCACATTTTTATATTTGCTTTTTAAATGAGATTTTCTTGAGTTCAAATTTTCTGGCTTTTAAACTAGAATTAATTAAGGCAAGTTTAATGAGTGTTTACTGGGTAGATGACATCATAGGTAATTTATCATTAACTTTGTAATTGATTTTAAGCAATTAATATTTTGAATTATTTTTCAGCTGGGAGATTAGTGTCAGAATGAGCAGTATTGATTTATGAAGTTTTATCCTGATTTAGTTCCTAAGTGTACTGTTTGTATTTTACAGATGGGGAAGGCGAGGGTGACGAGACAAGAGCTGTAGTCCAGGAGAATGAACTGCAGGACAGAAAAGCTGATACTCCCGGTCTGTACAACAACAACAACAACAACAACAACCCTACCACAAAGTCTATCACTGTTAACACCACCAGTACCCCAGGTAAGCACATCTAACCACCCAACTTTCCCCTGTAATCTTTTGTCAGACAGTTAGCATCGATACTGGGAAAGGGGAGGTAACTCTTACAAAAATCTTATATTTTAGGAATTGTCAGTATTCAATTTAAAAAGTATTTATTTGAATGAAATTAAAAAAGGTTAATCACTAAAAACAATAATGGACCTCTGGATATAAGAAAATTTTTCTCAGATATTTTTTTTTTAATATTTAAGTGATAAAAATATTTTGAATAACACAACATAGAGATAAATCAGACCTATGTATAACAAAAAGGAAATGTTGAAATTTAGTTATCTGTTGTCTATTTGCTATTAAGGTTTACTTGATTTGTTTTGACAGAATCTGGTAACACAGAAGGAGGAGAAGAACACATCCATGTGTGTCCCTACTGTGATTATAGTAGTGTGAATGAGGTACGCATCCAGGCTCACATTTTCTCCCAGCATTCACAGCAACCAAAGGAAATCTGCTGTCCTCTCTGTCAGGAGGAGTTCAAGGAAAAGTCTCGCCTTGAAAAGCACCTCACGTCCATGCACAACGTCAAACCAGAGGGACTTCATCGCCTGCTTTTGATGGTCGATAAAGGGGATTGGATCATGCCTCCTACAAATGCCATTGGGCACTCTTCTGTTATTCCTCAGATCCCTATTGATGAATCAGAGGAGATAAATATGGAAGCACTGGAGGCTGAGGCAGCCAAAATCGCAGCAGAAGATGGTATGTTTATTTCTTATCAATTGGACCGAGTACTGGCATTCATTTTAATAAAGCAAGAAAAAATAAAAAAAAAAAAATTATTACTTTTTTTTATCTAGCTATAATTTAGGTAATGAAAAAGCGGATTTATACAATTTCATATATATGATAACATATTTTCTGTTTTAAGAAAGTCGTATAAAAAATATTATAAACTGGAACTATTCAGAACAATAGTTCTAATTCTATTTTTATTTTGTTCTTTACAGCTATAGACACTACTGCTGGTGCTGACAAGAACAGTGAAGATGACCAATACAGATGTCAAACTTGTTCAAAGACTTTTGGTAACATTGATGCTCTGTATGCTCACCAAAATGAGCTTGGACATTTAGAACTCAAGCAAACACCCAGAGGACCAGGATACCTATGTTGGAAAAAGGGTTGTAACCAGTATTTTAAAACAGCCACAGCATTACAGGTCCATTTCCGTGAAATCCATGCCAAGCGCCAACCAGGCACTGGACTTGAAAATCAAGTGTATAGATACAGGTGTAATCAGTGCAGCCTCGCTTTCAAATCTCAAGAGAAGCTCCAGCTTCATCAACAATATCACCTCATCCGTGCTGCCACCAGGTGTAGCTACTGTGCACATTCTTTCTGTTCTATTGCTGCGTTAAGAAAACATATTGAAACTGACCACACAGAATTGTCAGAAGCCGAGAGAGAGCAGCATAGTGTTGTTCTCAATGAAAGCTCTGCAGCTCTGACCAACTTACTACAGACCTCCAGACTCGAAAAGGTTTTAAGTGGTGGCTGTCCGTCGTCTCCTGCTGAGGGCACTGGAGTTCTTACCTCAGAGGAGTCACCAGATATGGCCACAGATTGTACAAAAACTGATGTGAATTCAAATGAGACTGGAGAGAAAGGCATAGTAAAGCCAGAACTTATGGACACAAATTCTAACGAGGGACTTAACCTCTCTATGGATAATGGTGATGAGAATAGTGCAAGTTCTCCAGAAAGTGGCACAAAGGAGGATGGTACGGATGTGAACTACAAAGAACAGCAATTCCTAGAGGACTATATCAATAGCCAGGCCATTGCCGAGGGAAGTTATGAGGATCCCTCACGTAAATACAAATGCCATCGCTGTAAACTAGCATTTACCAAGCAAAACTATCTCACAGCCCACAACAAGACTCTACTTCACCGTCGTGGGGACAAATTGAGTTATCCTATGGAGAAGTATCTGGATCCCAACAGGCCATACAAGTGTGATGTGTGTAAGGAATCCTTCACACAGAAAAACATCCTTCTGGTACACTACAACTCTGTATCACATCTTCACAAGCACCGTCAGGTTTTACAGCAGGGAGGTTTGACCTCCTCTGCCTCATCTCAATCACCTCAATTACCAACCTCCCATTCACAGACACCACAACCTTCTCAAACTCCTACCGAGACCACAACTGTATCATCAGATCCCTCATCGCCTAGCAACCCAACATCAGTGTCACCTGTGTCGACAGAATCTGATAAATCCAAACCATACAAATGTAATATTTGTAAGGCCTCGTACAGTCAAGGGTCAACACTGGATATACATATCCGGTCTGTGGCCCATCAGACCAAGGCATCGAAACTTCAGGAACTTGTGCTGACTGGACAAGTGGACTTGTCTCAGCCTCTCATTGAACAGCCAAATGATAAAAATATCTCACCGCAGCATCAGAAGAAAATACTGGCTGAGATACTGCAGCAACAGCCTCTCATGTCTGCAAGTAGCAGCCAGCCACTGATATTTCCGGGAATCACTGCAGGTATATCAGGGATCACCACTGGACTTCCACCAATGTCCTTACTTCCTGGACTACACCATGTTGTCACGACAACAGCACAGAATGGTTCATTGTTAGAATCTGTGTCTAGTCAACAATCATCATCTGCAAAATCATCATCGAACGAAAACTCAACTTCATCTTCATCCAATCACCAGAACAACTGCCAAGAATCATTGCCATCACACATCAAGAAAGAAAGTGGATTAAGCATTAAGAAGGATCCGGAAAGTTCTGACAGCATTACGTCTGTACCATTCAGTGTTCAGTCTCAGCAGCACCAGCAGTTGGTGATGCAATCCTACCTCAGTCAGCAGGGTCCAAACTCTGGTCCATTGGCCATTACATCCCAGTCCCAGGCGGCTATCATGCGGCCACGTAACTTTGCCAGTCGTCTGAAGACGCAAGTCCAGAGGAACCTCTTAGAAAACATTGGGTTTGAATGTGTAATGCACTTTAATGAGTTCAACCAACGCACAAAGCCTGGAGTGAAACCAGATGAGGAAGAAGTTGAAGGAGAGAAAAAAGAAAGGGAAATGGAGGTGGACCAAGACGAAATTGTTGCTGTCAAAGCAGAGAAAGAGGAGGAGGGCACTGAGGCCTATCTATCTGACTTGCCTGAACTGAACAAGTGTGTTTGCAGCACTTGCCTGAAGGAGTTCTCCAGTGTGTGGGTACTCAAGGCCCACCAGGAGGAGGTGCATAAGGAAGTTGTCCCCATTGATATGATTGAGGACTTCGGCGAGAAATTCAGGTGCGATTTGGAAAAGAAACAACCAAAGGATTCTGAAATTGTGTCCAATTCTACAGCCCAAGCTGAGATGTCAAATGGTCAACAGAGCAGTGAGGCATCAAATGACAATAACTCAAGCCAAGAGATGCCCCCTCCCCCACCACCACCTCCTCAAATGAGCCCCCACATGGACCTCTCATCGGTCATGCCAATGCACATGCCATTTGCCATGGCAATGAATATGCCTTTTGCTATGGCGATGAACATGCAGCCTCCACTCATGCCAATGATGTTTCCAATGGGAACAGAGAAAATGGTGTCCCCAACAACGAGTCAAGCCGAGAACAACTTACAACAACTGCAAAAACAACAGCAACTAGCTCAACATGCTGCTGCCATGCAAAACCAGAAGCGGGCTCGTACCAGAATTAACGATGAACAGTTGAAAATTCTCCGTAAACATTTTGATATCAACAATTCACCAAGTGAGGAACAGATATTGAAAATGTCAGAACAGTCAGGACTTCCTACAAAGGTGATCAAACACTGGTTCAGGAATACATTGTTCAAGGAACGACAGCGAAACAAGGACTCCCCATACAACTTCAATAATCCACCATCCACCACACTGGACCTGGAGGAGTATGAGAAAACTGGAAAACTGCCAATGATGGAAGATAAACTACTCGAAGATGATGTTGTTATTAAGAAAGAAGATGAAGAGGACATGCCAGTTCCCATGGAAACCAAGATATCAGCTTTAGATGTCACACCTATTATCCCTAATCCCCTGCCAGTTGTCCCGGAGGTGAAGTCAGAACCACGAAATGTGGAACCTCCACGACCTCAGACTCCTGACATGAGTGACAGTGGGGAAAGCATGATCAGCATGTCTGGAGCCCCATCAATGACATCAACACCAACACCGAACACATTCATTCTACCTCCCATTGCACCCTGTAACACAGAAGAAATCCGACCCCGATTTGAATCCTCCCCATCATACTCAAAGAGAGCTAATCGTACACGATTCAGTGACTATCAGGTGAAAGTGTTACAGGAATATTTTGAACAGAATGCTTATCCAAAAGATGATGAACTTGATCATCTCTCTAACATGCTTAACCTCAGCCCAAGAGTAATTGTTGTATGGTTCCAAAATGCCAGACAGAAAGCAAGAAAGATATATGAAAACCAGCCACCTTCTGGAGGTGACTCCAGCCAGGAAAATCAGGTTTCACCCTACAACAGAACACCTGGTCTTAACTATCAGTGCAAAAAGTGCTCTGCTGTTTTCCAACGATACTACGATCTGATCCGCCACCAGAAAAAGTCGTGCACCTCTGACAGTATTGCTGAAAAGTCCCAGACATCTGTGAGTGTGACAGAGGAGGACAGTGACTCATGGTCAACTTTGTCACAGGATGATGCCAACCAATCAGAATCCGGCTCTGCTAACTCCCTTGAACATTCCGCTGATCGAGATTCCGAAGGGATCAAGTACAAATGTGAGAAATGTTTGCTGTCATTTGAGAGGTTTGACCTTTGGCAAGAGCATCAGAACGTTCACACCATGAATCCCAGTCTTTTCTCAGACCTTCAGTCTAACAGTGCGTTTGGTGTACTGCAGTCAATGGCTGCTGCTCAACAGCAAGAAACGAAAAATGTTCTGAAGAGAAAATTAGAGGAGGAAAGAGAGGAGGATATGTATGACCAGCCGAGGGACAAACGGTTGCGCACCACAATTTTACCAGAACAGCTTGATTACCTGTATCAGAAATATCAAGTTGACTGTAATCCCAGCCGTAAACAGCTTGAAAATATTTCCAAAGATGTTGGCTTGAAAAAACGGGTTGTACAGGTCTGGTTTCAGAACACTCGGGCAAGAGAACGCAAAGGACAATATCGTGCTCACCAGCAGCTTATCCACAAACGTTGTCCATTTTGTCGTGCTTTATTCCGTGCAAAATCAGCATTAGAGTCTCATCTAGCCACGAAACACCCAGAGGAGATGGCAAAGGGTGAAATCAACATCGATTCCATTCCTGACGCAGCCATAGAGAGTCCCGGAGGGTCCCAGCTGTCACCGGGATCCCTCATGTCACCAAGCACTAACTCTGTCGAGCTCAACCGACTCATGTCACCACCCAGAATGCAACCCTTCCTTCCCATCATACCTCCAACCAGCATGCCAATGGGAATGAACTCCCTTGGTGATCCTCTTCAGCTTTCCATGAAACAGTTTTATGAAGATTCCTATAAAAAATACATGGCTGAACTGAGTACCACCGGTCGTCAGAAGGAAACTTCTAATACTACGCCAACTGAATCAGTACCTACATCAACAAAACACGAAACAAGCAGTAGTAGCAGCAGCAGCCATCCTCGAGTAAACAGCAGTGCTAGTGACTACGAGGCACCACTCGACCTCAGCAAGCCTCTACGAGTGAACATTGACATGGAGAAATCTTCTGATGGGGCCTCTACAGACCTCAGTGACAGGAGTACCGAGGGATTCAGTTCTTCTCGAAGGTCAGATGATATGTTCTCCAGCAAACATTCCATCAGTGATAGTTTGAGTAGCAACAAGGATTTAAGCAAATCTTCATCACCATCTGTGGAACGATCAAGTCACCTAACGCCACCCATGGGCAAACGTTATCGCACTCAGATGACAAGCGTGCAAGTTCGTATTATGAAACAGGTCTTTGTTGACTACAAGACTCCAACAATGGCTGAATGTGAAATGTTAGGCAGAGAGATAGGTCTGCCAAAGCGTGTGGTACAAGTATGGTTCCAGAATGCTCGTGCTAAGGAGAAGAAGCATAAACTCACCATGGCCAATAGTTACAGCAATGTAGATTTCCACAAGCCTCCGGAGGAATGTTCTTTGTGTAAATTCAAATATTCCCACAAGTATACGATCCAGGACCATATCTTCACCAAGAAGCATATAGAAAAAGTGAAGGGCTTTATCCAAAACCAGTCCGATACCGAACGTGACATTACCTCACAGTCAGCCATCCCTGACCCCATGCGACAACAGCGGGACATGGAGAGGATGAGGAAGGCGTGGGATGAAGCCACAGTTGCTGCTGCCTCACAGCCTCACCTTTCACAGCTCCAGGCTATGGGACTCAATGCTCTGGGCCTACCCTCTGCATCCATGTCAGGTAGGCTATTCAACATGGCCTTATGTCTACAACAACTGAAAATTGTTGATATGTTGACTTTCTTCTCCAACATCAAATTATCATAAGCGCTTCTGATGAATTATGTCAAAACACTTTCTACAATTAAGTTTTTTTCCTAGGTAATTATTTGTCACAAAATCAACACTAAATTCAGGAGACAATTTTATTGTTATTTGATCTTGCTGATTTGTTTATTTTATTTATTTTTTTCTTATTTTTCTAACTTTTTTCATTTTGCAGGGTTTAGTGGATCGTTTTTACCCAATGACCTGATGCCAGATGTGAAAAAGTTGGAGCAAAAGAAATCCATCGAAAAGAGCACTGAAAAAAGAGAAGGAGAAAAGAGGACCCCGGGTAGGTACAATCTGTCGACAGCTACATCAGCATCACTGAAAAGTTTCTAAGAGAGAATTTATTTGTCACTTTAGTAATGCATAAATAGAAGTTGTAATTGATACTGTACCATTGCTGATTGTAAATAGATTTTTGTTTATCTTTTTTTTTTTTTTTTTTTTCCCCAAAAATTAATTTTTTGTTTTTACCAATTACAGTGAAGAAGGAATCAACCTCCACTTCAGATGTACAAATGTCTCTTGCCAACCTGAGTGCTCATCTAATGTCCCCCATGGCGGGCATGTTACCAGGGTTTGATCCTAGCATGATGCCGTACATGTATCCCGGGTTACCCAGTTACCTCCCAGGCATGGGCATTCCCTTTCTACAGCCTGGACTCATCCCTGGTACGTCAACCAGTCAAATTCAAGGTGACATTTAGTCGTAGACCTCAATACCACACAATACAATGGCAAGCTTTTTTTTTTTAAGTTTCTGTACGAATTTGGTTTGACGTAAAATTGATCTAACTTTAGTCAGTAATAGTTCCAGGATACTGAGGTTTTTGTAAATACTATAAAATGATATACTTTTGTGGAGCTCAGTATTCTTGTCTTGTCAAGGTAAATAATTTCAAACTTGTCACATGTTTCTAACATGATTATATGGCCAAAACCAACTATTGTTCCTGTTAGAGTTTCTGTTTATAGAGCCCCTTCACTACACATTGTTTGTGGGATTTCTATTGCACTGACTGTATTTCAACATTTTGACTGATCATCAAGTACATGTGGTGATGACAAAATTGTCTCTTGCATTTTCATTTGTAAAACAAAAACATTTAAGTATTTTTTCTTTTGTCTTCAGGTGCAGACCCACTGTTACCTTATGATCCCCTCACATTTGGAACACCTCTACCTTTACTGCAAATTCCACATCAAGCCATAAAAGACGTTGGCGTGAAACTGATGGAACCCAAGGCAACAATTGCTCAATATACACAGGACTGTAAGTCCATCTCAAGTCTGCGTTCACTGGTGCGGAGTGTAGACTACAGCTGTGCTCGTGAGTCCACTGTTGATGTGGGCTATATCTGTAAGAAATGCCAAATGGTGTATCCTGCCAAGGAGGCATGCGTCACACATCAGCGAACCATTTGTTTCCCTGGTGGTAAATACCCTGACAATGTGAACCCGATGTTGAAACTGGAACAGATACAGTACGAATGTCGCCTCTGTACAGACACGTTCTCCACTGTACAGGAGTACAAATCGCACTGTCAGCTGGACTCTCACATGGCCAAAACTGCACGTCTCCAACAGAAATCATCCTCATCCTCTACACCGACTCAACCTAGTGTGGTTAAATCAGTCGACAGTGTTTTATCAACTGAGAAACACATCACCAGGCCATTAAGTACAAAGTCTCCAAGCTCTTCCAATAACTTATCACCCTCCCCTTTGCCAAAAGCTGATGCAAGTTTAAATATATCAGGTTCCAATAGTGTAGTCGATGACATTGCGGAGGAAACGTCAAACAAGACAGAATGAACAAACGTTATGGTGCACCATAACTGTCAGTGAGATTTCTGGTCGAGGCCTAGCATTTCTTTTTTCTTTTTTTTTTCCATTTTTTTTTTTTTTTTGTAGTTGCTTTAAGCAAAGTGCTGTAATATTTCCAATGCTGTGAATGAAATTTGAACTTTGACCTTTAATGTTAATGTAGTTGTGAACATATCGTGACAGTTGTAGGTGATGTCGGTCGTGGACAATTTTTTGTTATAGATTCTACTTATGTATAAATGTTCTAAAGTATCTCGTATTAAATATGGAGATTATGTTAATATGTTATAATGTTCATAATTGTCATCATATTTTTAATTTTTTTTTAGATACATTTAAACTGTGGTAGACAATGCTAAAGTAGAGATGTGTGAACTTAGCCTCAACCATAACTTTAAAAACAATTTTTATACATATTTACAAGTAATGAGTAATTGTCACTCGAGGTAGATAATATAAATATAATAAAATGTTATATATCTATATATATATATATAATTCAGATGTAGAACTATTATAACCTCGTAGCTGTTTATCTACCATTTTTAGAGTAGAAACCCTTGTGTAGACATACTTTGACCAATTTCATTGATGGGGTCGGAAAAACAAAAAGTGAGAAATTTACCCAAGAGGCTGAAGTTGTTATCAGAAAAAATATTACACATATACACAATGTATGAATCAGTTGACCTTCATGTAAAAGCAGCTATATACATTTGTAATGGTACAATATCGGGGTTTCTCGTGTTACAGACAGCCAAACATTGTATCATCTCCAAGGGAGACAACACATTAATTATATGACAGTGTTGTGATACACTCAAAGAGTTGTTCAGTTATGCCATTTTTTTCCCAATAAGCATTTTACCCACTCAAAGTTGTTCAAATATAGTCATTTAAGATAATCTATTTATGGGTGTTCAAATTCTTAACGTTCTCACTACCTTCTGCTTTGTATCATGTTTTCAAATGATTTTGACATTTTGTGAATGAATCCTATAGAATTTGTTTATTTACATCTTATAGGCTGGTTCAGCCGACACCTCAGGCCTGACGATTTTCTGCTGTTTTTCAGAATCTTGGTTCTATAAATAGTAGGAGACGAGTACGAATAGGTCTTTTATACAATTGTTAAATACTTTTTTTTCTACATTTGTAGTCGGTCATTAATGATATTTCAAATTTCAAAGAGTACAAAAGGTAAACTGTAGTGTTACAGTTACTAGTGAACAAGATATGTGGGTCGATGTTTTGATATATGTGACATGAGGATTTTGTTGCTACTATGAATTAGGACAAATATTTGTAACTACTTGAACTATTTCTAGAAATGACTTTACAAGACAACTGTTAATTAATTTCACAAACTGATATAATTTTAATCATTAGGTGGAAATTTTCTACACTGTTAAAACTTTTTGTGCACTCTGAATGTTGAAATACCAGCATTTAGTGTAATGACCGAGTTCCTATAGTAGGTTATGGTATCCCTCTACAGTGTAGATATTGGTGCTGATTTGTTACATACAATTCGATTGGTCAGAACTGATTTGTGTGTATGTTATCTGTGACTTGATTGGTCAAACTAGATTTATCTTGGTGAATTGGTTGACACAGTTTAGGCTGTATATTACGTTTGATTGGATTGGTTGATACAAATGTTATCTATTATCTGATTGGTCGACACTGAGGGGTGCCAGTTATTCTTAGTGTATGGATCTTCTTCTATTGTTAATACCTTTGTTATTGAACAAGATTGTTGTTATTTTTTCCTGTTTTACTATATCTACATTGTGATCATTTATAATTAAATTTAAATTCATCTTGATAGTCAGAGCGCCAGTGATAAGATTTTTTATTCCTAGTTGAAGGTGTGTATATTACTACCTATAACCTGTATGTCATCCATATTTTTTTCTGTTACCCAGGTAACAGTTCTTTGTTCCATGTCATCCATATTTGATCCCTAAGTGTTTGGTATATATCGCGTCTTTAACCCTTGTCGTGTTAGATATAATCCCGGCGTCAGGATATTGACGAGCCCCAGTCCCTGCAATATTGCATTGTTGTGTATTACTTACTCCCTTCATCCCATCTAACAATTCCCTTTTACGAAAAAGAATCTTTTTTTTTTTTTTTTTTCAAAAACTATATATCTGTAGACATTATCACTGTAAGCTTGCAGTTGGCTGTTTGTGAAGCTAACGTGGCAAGGTTAGATGTAAACAATGTATATAGATGTTTTAGAACATATCTACAACCCTATGTATGTGTATCGTACATGTGTGTAAGTAATCAGTACGTATGTATCTGTATGATAGACAGACCACATATCTTACGTTATATATATCTTTCCATTTGTAATCACTCACCAATGAACTGCCCAGTGTAATCATTGTTAATTTCTGGTATTGTATGATCAGCATGTTATCACTGGGCGTGATCGATTGATTTGATTGGTTGTATATGATGAGTAATTGAGTTGTACACATACATGTATATATATATATATATTGATACATTAGGGTAACGCAATGGTGATGTCATGTTATTACCAAGTACCGAGTCAGATCTCAGTCCGTCATTTTTTCTCTCTCTCACTCTCTCTTGTATAGTTATGATTTTGACCTTGTCAAGTGAAATCCCAACCTATCCCTGTTCGTTCTGTAGCTTTTTGACTTTTGATCAACTTGTCGTTTCTCAATTTGACCTTTGACCCTTACAATATTATAGTCCCCAATGTAATTGTATTTGTCTGTCTATGCAGACAGAACATGCCATTCTTCTGGAATAGGGGATATCAGGTATACTTCAGGAATCGTGTAAAGATTAATTGTACTATACATCAGTAGCTGTGTTTGTATGTCTGTTAGAGCATTGTTGACTACTTCCTTTACATAAAAAAAATTGTCCTTTTTTTTTTTCATTTATTCATTATAGCATTTCAAACTCCTGTTTTTTAGGGGATTCCTGTATTTAGTTGTAGGGACAAATAAAGTCCATTGAGCATCTGCCATCATAAACGGTACTTATTTAGATCCACCCTTTCATCCCTAAAATCTTGACATGGAACTCTACTTTCCATTGTCTAGGGCCAAACTATAACAGATTTTGGGGGTCAAAGGGTGTCATGTTAGATAATTTTTAGGCTATCAATAGTTCTTTTTTTTCTGTTATAAATTGCAATCTCATAGCGTTGTTACATTGTTGTACCTATGTTAAACCTCAAGCTAAGGTGCTGATCGCAAGTTAACCCTGTAGGGATACGCTTACATGGTTCGTCACATTGTCACTTTTTTCTGCTTTTTATTTCTGTTCTTTATTTTTTTTTCTTCTTTTTTTTTCTGATGAACAGAATTCAATTTTGTTCAATTGAATTATATTTGTTTTGCTATATGTAGCAAGCATACAGTCAATGTTTTATTAAACTTTTTGTCCTTTTTTTTTTGGGTACTGTTGACTGTTTTAGACATTTTAAGAAAAAGTTACATGTAGTCTGCTTTGCAAAATATAAAGGAAGAAAATAAATATATCATAATGATACACTGAGTGTGTTGTTTTCTTTTTTCCTAATTAAAGACAGATGAAAAAAATCCTTAAGGACATATGATAAAGATATTTTGACGAGGGTGAAGCGAGCTACTTCTGTCTTTCTGTCCCGAGCCAAAATGCAGCTTATATTTTAAGACACTGACCATGTATTCTATTTATCCTGCAACTTTCATTGAAAATCAGACAATCAAAACTTCAGCAGCTTTGTAGTACAATCTTTACCTTTTGTTGACATTAAGCTGAATTTTGCCTGATGATGTATACCGCGCAGAAATGTAGTTCCAAACTTCAACATATATGACAGCAATTTTATGAATTTTCGTAAATAAAGTTATCCCTTTGCAATATATAAAATTACTTAATTTAACAGAAATCTATGTTATTAAATGTGATTTTAAGTTAAATTCAGATAGTAGTTCTGTTGAATTACTCCACATGCTAAAATACAGCTGTTTTCTGTCACTGCTGAGTAAAGCAAACTTAAATGTGGTAGGTGTATTCTGACAAGTGCAACAAAGTCTACACAACATAAAGCAAAACACTACAGGACTCAAGTGTAGCAGCACATAACTGGAAGGAAGTAAAGCTCAACATGACACAGTAGAAGTATGACTCCTCAAAAAGAAGTGACACTTCCCATGATATGAGGGAATTACAGCTCCACATGACATGAGGGAATTACAGCTCCACATGACATGAGGGAATTACAGCTCCACATGACATGAGGGAATTACAGCTCCACATGACATGAGGGAATTACAGCTCCACATGACATGAGGGAATTACAGCTCCACATGACATGAGGGAATTACAGCTCCACATGACACAAGGGAATTACAGCTCAACATGACATGAAGAAATTACAGCATGACATGAAGAAATTAGAGCTCCAAATGACGAAGAAATTACACCTCCATATGACTCGAGGGAAGTGTAATGTCACATGACATGAGGATATTAGAGCTCCACATGACATGAAGAAATTAGGGCTCCAAATGACATAAGGAAGTATACTTCCACATGACATCAGAGAAGTATAACTAAACAGACATGACATAATGAAGACATGAATCAATGTTTTATGAACAAGGAGTAAGTATTGCTATGACAAGTTTGATATTGATCCTACACAACATGAAGAAATCTAAAACACTGAAAATGAAGGACATTTGTCTCCACAGAATATATAGGAAGTCTGTCCCCACAGAATATAAAGGAAGTCTGTCTCCACAGAATATAAAGGAAGTCTGTCTCCACAGAATATAAAGGAAGTCTGTCTCCACAGAATATAAAGGAAGTCTGTCTCCACAGAATATAAAGGAAGTCTGTCCCCACAGAATATAAAGGAAGTCTGTCTCCACAGAATATATAGGAAGTCTGTCCCCACAGAATATAAAGGAAGTCTGTCTCCACAGAATATAAAGGAAGTCTGTCCCACAGAATATAAAGGAAGTATGTCTCCACAGAATATAAAGGAAGTATGTCTCCAAAGAATATATAGGAAGTCTGTCTCCACAGAATATAAAGGAAGTCTGTCTCCACAGAAGTCTGTCTACACAGAATATATAGGAAGTCTGTCTACACAGAATATATAGGAAGTCTGTCTCCACAGAATATAAAGAAAGTCTGTCCCCACAGAATATAAAGAAAGTCTGTCTCCACAG